ATTTTCTGGACTTAATTATAATTATTTTATAATTCTTTTTTAGGGTTGTGTATAAGTTAATAGTCTTCACTCAATTTAAATAACTAAATTTGTTCAATTTTTTAATTTGATTTCAACTTTATATAGTGTCCAACTAAATTTATGTTATTCTTCTCTTTATAGTTAAATTGAGTGAAATAACCGAATTAAGCAGTTTGATTTTAGTTATTTATATTTCTTTGATTTTTAATTACTTGAGACTAATGTTTATCTCCTAGTCTTTTTGGCAGTATGAAAAAAGACAAAGGAGAAGGTATTTCTATTTTTTTTTCTCTTCTGTCCGCTTGACTTAACAAGTCTTCGTTCATTAATTTATTTTTATTTTTAATTTTTAATTTTTAGTAGTAGTACTATATTGCTGTCGTGGCCGACACAAATGATTCTAACCATCCAAAATAAACCTAAAGCCATGCACTTTTGCTTTTATTTTATTTTTATTTTTCTTTGAAAATGACTTCATCGTACCTAAACTTAGACAACCAACAGTTAGTATGCCTTCATTTGGATTTTTTTTCCCGTTTATTACTATATACAATGATCATCATACATTTTACATTATTAATAACAATTATAACACCTTAGAAGTAATTATTTATTCCAAAGGGAAAATTATAATAATATATTTCGGTGTTAAAAAATATCGAAACTAGAAAACAGCTTATTTTTGTTTTCGAAATGAAATTAACTCGATGTTGCAATTCAATCAAAGATATCGAACCCGATTTAATTTTTTAAAAAAATTTATGAGGTTTCACTTTTCTTTATGTAATTTGCCTCTTCATTTTATAAAATACACAATTTTGCCTTTTCATTTTAAAAAATACATTATGTTTATCTCTATTTTTGCCTTGGTTATGCTGCTACATCTTTCTTTTTAATTTTTTTTTTTTTACTTTTTTCAATCAATACTTATAAATTATTTTTTAAAAAAAAATTATTATGTTGCCCATTTGTTTTTCTAAATTAACTATATTGTTCTTGTATTTTTTGTAATTATTTGTACTTTCAACATAAAAATTTTATAATAGAATAATGAAAGCAAAAGACAATTACTCGAAAATAGAAGGTTAATGTTATATATCTAAACAAAATATAATGACAAAATCGTTATTATCCCAATAAATAATTACTTCCAATGGAAGGCAAACAAAATGTTGGTTGTGTAAGTTTCGCTTTGTAACGACTTTATGGATGAAACGTTTTTGTAAATATAATTAAGAGATTTAGGGTATTTGTTTGGGTTTAATACAGCTGATTAGATTTCATTTGATTCGTTAAGATAAGGAAAAAAAAATTTGTTTATTTTATAGTTTCAGATAAGCTTTTTATCTGGATCTAAGACAATAGATATTCTCTTTCAAATATAATTATAAGAATTATGGTTAAATATATAAATTTACCTCTATAATTGTTATAAAAATTTTATACCATTTTCAATTTTTTTATTTTGACTAGTATTTTTTATGATGTGCGTTGCACGTTGACTATGCTCATTATATATTAAATTGTTATACTCTTTTACTTTTTTACGGTGAGAAACCGGAACTGTGAAGAACCGAAACTGGTTCAAACCGAAATCGAAATTGGGAGTCTGCAGTCTGGTTCCGGTTCCAACTTTTGAGGAACTGTGAATTGGCGGTTTTTCCAACTGGTTAGAACCGGCAGTTCTGACAGTTCGAACCGGTAGTTCCACCCGATTTCGATAACTTTTTTTTATTTTTTCAAATATTTTTGTGAAATTCCAAATTAATCCTCCTAACAACTATATATCAGCTACTTTTAAGGGTATTTGTGGAAATTTAATTTTTTGAATTTACTACAAATACCCATTTTTATTTAAAAAAATAAGTTTAAGAATTTTTAATAAATAAATGAAGTTAAGCCTTTTTTTCAAATTTTTCTTTCGGTTTTTTCTAAAAATTATTTCATAAATATTTAAATTTTAAATTTTCAGTAAAAAAATCTTCCATAACTTTTGATTTTATAATGCTGGAAAATTAATCCGAAAATCGCCGGAACAATTGATTTGGTACCGTTAAGGAACCGAAATTGAAACTGTAACCGTTCGGTTCTAAATAATAACCGGAATCGTCAATTTTCGGTTCGATTTTGATTTCAGATTTTTTGAAATCGAAACCACAGGTTTCAGAACTGAAATCGGCAGTTTCGGAACCGTGGCCATCCCTACCTATAAACTAGGGACGACCATAGTTCGATTTCAAACAGAAATCGAACGGTCAAAACCGGCACTAGATCATAGTCAATGATTATTTAAAATAAATTTTAAAAAATAAAAATTAAATAAAAATAATTATGTGTATTCTATTTGCAAATTTATTTTTTTTAAAAAAATATACCCAACCAAATCATACAAATATGAAGAAAAAAATTAAGAAAAATAATTTTCTGTTTTCTTTTTTTTCTCTCTCTTGTAAATAAGATAATTTATATGTTATATTCGAAATTTTATTTTAAAAAAATATATACAATAAAATTATACAAATATAAAAAATATTAATAAAAAGAATATATTTTTTTCTTTTTTTATTTCTCCGTAATAAAATATTTTGAATTATAATTATGATAGAATAATATATTTAAAAAATAAAATATAGAATTTCCAAAGCTTAGAATCATCTGAAAAAGAGAGGGGGGGAGGGGGAGGAGGAGAGACAGAGAGAGAGAGAGAGAACGACATGTTATTCTCATTAACTGTCTGTCGTTTATCAAATCGATACAAGAGACGACATTTCTGTATTTTATTATTTACAGAAAAAAAGAAGCGCGTTTCCATAAAAAACCCTTCAGAGTTCAGACCAGTGTTACTCACTCCCTTCGTCCCTCTCGAAAATTGACCTTCAAGATGACGAAGCTATTGCGATTGCTGCAATATTCCAGGTTTCAACTTTCTCCCTTGAAAATGTTAATCTCCTGACTTTTTTCATTGTTATACTCGTTTATTTCTTAATTGTTCGAGTAAATTTCTCCATTAAATAATTTCGTTTTCTCTGTTTGTTTAAGGATAAAATGTGGGAAACCTGAGGAAAATGATGTTTCTTTTTCTTTTCTTTGTTTTTAAATTTACCTTTTTATCTTTTTATATTTTCGTTTTGATTTTTGATTTTTAATGTCGCTTAGTTTGTGGCTAGGTTCATTGATAAATTTCTATCCGGAGAATGGTTGTTTAGAAGTTGCACGTTTTTATTTGATAACACGCTGCTTAAAGATTGTGTGTGTGTGTGTGTGTTTGTTTTTATCTTCGTCTGGTGGCGAATACAGTGGTTGCTATATGTTCTAGATGTGGGAAGCTGTTTGATGTTTGCGAACTATTTAATAAAATGCTTGCGAGAAATGTTGTGATTTGGAATGGAATGATTGCGGGGTATGTAAAAACTATGTTTGTAAAAGAGTTACATCACTCTTGTTTTTCTGAGATGATATCTGTGATAGAGATATACTATTAACCATGCATATGTAATAGTATAGCTATAAATGATTTTCTATTGACAATTATTTCTTTGTATTTAATTGGATTAATAAAATATAGTTTTCTAATTGGCAATGATGAAGGTTATTTTAGCAGATTCTAAATTCCATTAAGGGTGTTATCAGAAATCCCATTATTCATTCTTTATTTCCACATTTATATATAGTATAGATTTATTGAATACTTCAATTTATAAAATTACATATATTAAATACTTTAAAATGACCTATTGAATACCTCAATTTATAAAAGTGATTGATGAAACACTTATTAAATAGTTGAAAAATATGAAACTTATTATTTCGATAATCGTACTAATCGTATATTAAATATAAAATTAATATTTTATATATAAAAAAAAAGTCAAATTTGTTGTTGCTAGTGTGAAGAAGTGTGTAATGTTACTGAAATCATTAACTTTAGAGGCATGGGCCATTTTTCGGTTTTTGAAACCGAAACCTTGAGGATCCGAACCGGAACCAAAACCAAGAATCTGTAATCTGGTTCTGGTTTCAACTTTTGAGGAACTGTGAACCAACGGTTCCAAGAACTGGCCAGAACCTACGGTTTTTTCAACTGTTTAGAACCAGCGGTTTCGATGGTTCAAATCGACAGTTCTACCCGATTTCAATAACCTTTTTTTTTTTTTATTTTTAGGAAAAAAATGTTCCCTAACTTTTGATTTTATAATGCTAGAAAATCAATCGGAGAACCAATTGAAATAATTGATTTGGTACTGTTAAGGAACCGAAATCAAAACTGGAATCGTCAATTTTTGGTTCGATTCTGATTCAAGACTTTTTGAAACCGGAACCATTGATTTCAGAACCGAAACCGGCAGTTTCGGAACCGTAGCCATCCCTACCTATAAACTAGTGACGACCACAGTTCGATTTCAAACCGGAATCTAACGGTCAAAACTGACACTAAATTGTAATCAATGATTTTGGTTTCAAACAGTAACCATAACCGTGAATTTAAAGTTTGATTCTGATTATTTATTTTTTGAAACTGAAGCCAATGGCTTTGGTTTAAAATTAGCGATTCTAATTTAAAACCATGAAAAACATATTTTTAAAGAAATTCATAATTACTTTTTTTTGTTATAGTTTTATAAAATAACTTTTAAGATTTTTTATTAAATTGGTTTAATTTTTTTAATAATATTATTTATTGTTATTATTCATTCAAAACCAAAACAAAATCGGTATCAATAATTTCAAAATTATTTTAAAAATAAGAGAAAAGCGATCGATTCTGATTCCACTTTTTAACCGGAACGGTGGTGACCCCTACTGTAAACATAAAGGTGGGATTGTGATAAACAGGGAAGCACCTCCGTTGTACGGCAACTAGTTTAGAAAAAGCTTAGAATCATCTGAAAAGAGAGAGAGAGAGAGAGAGCACGAACGACATGTTATTCTCATTAACTATATGTCGTTTATCAAATCGATACAAGAGACGACATTTCTGTATTTTATTATTTGCAGAAAAAAAAAGAAGCGCGTTTCCATAAAAAACCCTTCAGAGTTCAGACAGTGTTACTCACTCTCTTCGTCCCTCTCGAAACTTGACCTTCAAGATGACGAAGCTATTGCGATTGCTGCAATATTCCAGGTTTCAACTTTCTCCCTTGAAAATGTTAATCTCCTGACTGTTTTTCATGGTTATACTCGTTTATTTCTTAATTGTTCGAGTAAATTTCTCCATAAAATAATTTCGTTTTCTCTGTTTGTTTGCGGATAAATGTGGGAAACCTGAGGAAAATGATGTTTCTTTTTCTTTTCTTAGTTTTTAAATTTATCTTTTTATATTTCTATATTTTCGTTTTGATTTTTGATTTTTAATGTCGCTTAGTTTGTGGCTAGGTTCATTGATACAGTTCTATCTGGAGAATGGTTGTTCAGAAGTTGCACGTTTTTATTTGATAAAACGCTGCTTAAAGATTGTGTGTGTATGTGTGTTTTTATCTTCTTCTGGTGGCGAATACAGTGGTTGCTATATGTTCTAGATGTGGGAAGCTGTTTGATGTTTGCGAACTATTTAATAAAATGCTTGAGAGAAATGTTGTGATTTGGAATGGAATGATTGCGGGGTATGTACAAACTATGTTTGTAAAAGAGTTACATCACTCTTGTTTTTCTGAGATGATATCTGCTGGTGTTAAACCAGACTCTATTACCTTGCTAGTTTCTTTTGATCAATTACTGAATGAGCAAGTCATAAACAAGGTAGGGAAATCCATAGTTATAAAATAAGACACGGTGTTCACTTGAATTTTGTTTCTCTTGGTTGTCTTTCTTTCTTTTTGATGGCATCATTGATGTTCTTGTTTATTTCTTACTTGTTTGAGTAAGTTCTGTTCGTTTCCCCACAAATTGTTTATGTTTCTCTCTTTGGTCGATAGAAAAATGTGAAAAGCTAGGAAAATGATGTTTTGAGCATATAAGTCTATAATTTTAAATTTTTTTATTTGGTTCTAGTGGGTTTCCTTTGCCACCAGAAGTTAATTGGGGGTCTGTTATGTTATATCTATTTTTAGTTGTTTTTATTGTTTGTATGATACTGTATGTCAAGTGCACTCAAAAAGAAAGGATTTGGAAAATTTTTGAATTGTTTGCATTTGAGTAACAATGGTGTATCTAATCAAAAAAATTAAAGTTCCTTAGATTGGAAACTCTGTTCACTCATTCTATAGTTTTGAGATAGTTGTAGTTGTGCTTACGTATGTCATTTGCCCCTTTCTTTCATCCCTATTATGTTAGTCCCAAGAAAAAAAGGCACAATATTCAGGTGGTGTCCAATATTTCTCTTTCCAAAGGCAAAAATCCATTTTTTCTTGTTTCTGTCTAAGCCATTTCAATTCCTAAATCTGTTCTTATTTTCTGAATGATGAATAATATGATGCTTGTAGAGTAAATAAGTTGGTTAGCAAATATTTTACATGCTTTCTAAAAGGAGTGAGATACGGAGGAAGGGTCTTGCGCTCTCTCTCTCTCTCTCTCTCTCTCAATAAGTTGGTTTAGCAATATTTTACATGCTTTCTAATAAGGAGTGAGATAACGGAGGAAGGGTCTTTGCGCTCTCTCTCTCTCTCTCTCTCTCTCTCTTCTCTCTCCTCCTTTTTGAATTTGGTGGAAGCTCTTTGTGAATCATTCCTTTTCCATAAATCCTTTAAAACAGCCAAAGTGTAATAGTATTAGATCCTTTTCATTGCGCTCTCTCTCTCTCTCTCTCTCTCTCTCTCTCTCTCTCCTTTTTGAATTTGGTGGAGCTCTTTGTGAATCATTCTTTTTCCATAAATCCTTAAAACAGCAAAGTGTATAGTATTAGATCCTTTTCATTTTTTAAATGCCAACTGTATTATTTTTTTGCATGAATGGATATTGACACACTATACATAGGCCTATGATTCAGCCTTACTCAGAATACTCCCTGTGTTGTGCCTGTGGATGGATGCCTTTATTAATATTTATTATTTGGCTGGCTTTACTTGGATGGTCCCTTGTGTTCTGCCTAGGGGTGGATGTGTTTCTGGATATTCAGTATTTGGCTGGCCTAGATTGAGCCCAAGTCTACTGCCATACAGGGAGCAAGGATTGCCAGGATCTGTCCCTGGGATAGAAAACAGACAGTGTGTATCTGCTATTTTATGATGTGTTAAAACATTCTGCCACAAGATTAAAAAAAAAAAAAAGAATTGATTTACGATGAGAATGAAATGTCTATTTTGCTGCAAAATAAGCTCTGACAGCTTTTCTCTTCCAGGCAGTAAATAGAAACTTCTAGATCATAATGCTCATTAACCAACAACTAATGGCTGGCCAACATTGAAACGTTTACCAATAATTGGGGTCCATAAATGATTTAAGGCATTTAATTCTGATTTGATGCTTAACGACTTATGTGCATGTACTTTGTCTGATACTGCCCTTTCTTTATTCACATTTTCAAAGCAAAATTTTCAAGTGCAGCGGGTGCTTTCTAGGGGTGAGCATTCGGTTTGGTTTATTCGGCTAATTGGTTATTTTGGTCTCAATTTCTCAGCTAATTCGGTCTGGTTTGATTTGAAAAAAATGTTAAAATTTCGGTATCTGATTTCAACAAAACCAAACAAATTGGCACGTAATGTTTTATCACTAATAATGTAATCTTTAGCCTATTTTATCTCTATCATTAGAGGTTAGCTTTTGTTGTTTGTGTAATTATGTTGTCTTGAAGTAATTATTCTTTTTTGTTTTGTATTTACTTATTTCGATAAAGAGAAGTTAAAAGAAAAGGTAGGAGAGTTCTTTGGTTGTGAATATAAGCTACTTGTAATTTATTGAATTCTCTACAGTGATTTGGTCAATACTATAAATTGGCCTTTTATTTTCATTTAAATTAAATTTTAGTATAATTGTTACAACTTTTTCAATTAAGATACTCTGTTGCAATTAATCATTAAGTTTAAATGATAAATCGGTTTTGTTACTGTTTACAATGTTTTGTATGTAGATTGCTCTTTTGGATTTAGATTTTTTACCTTGAAAAAAAAAAAAAAAATTTCAGATTCGTGTTCAATTTTTTTTATTGAATTTTTCAATGTTACATTATTTTGTTTTGGTTTAAAAAAATTGCCGAAAAACTCTGAATACTCACTTCTAGTCCACTTTGCTAGCTCTTTGGGAACCATGGAGCTCTAAGAGCAAAATCAGCTCAAAATTCTTGAAACTTCCTAGCTAATGAATTATAGTACAAATTCATCATCTTTGTCTCAGATGGAAATGAAATAAGTGTTACTGTAAGAAGATCAAACTCATCATAAAAGGCCTCTGTCTACATTAAGGGTCGCAAAAGATGCATGTAGTCGACCCTACTGGTTTGGGGACAAGCTTAATGAGTCTGTTAAGTAGTATCGATATCAGTATTAGCATTCATGTCGAACATTCTTAGAGAGTAATAAAGAGGTAGGCAGCCTTTGAAGCATTTTTATCTCCATATGGTTGTTAATCAAACAGCTCTTTTGCTAGTGTGAAATGGCAGTCATCTAGATTTAATTTAGAATGCTGTTGGACCTCCTTTTCTTTGGATTGGGTAACATGAAATAGTAGAAGGTTATTTCCTTCTGCATTTTTCTTTTTGTATGTATATTTTCACATCAATCACCTTCTTGTTTTTCAATTTATCAAGTCTATCTTCTTCCTGCTGGCATGTTGATAAAGTGACCTCATCAGTATTTAGAAGTCTTAAAGTTGCATTATGTAACTAAAACTTTTGGAAGGCTCCTCTGCTCATGAAAACTTTTCGAAGTCTCCTCTGCCCATATACCTTGTTGCTAAAATTTCTTTCATTATGTTATCTTTTTCTTTTTTTTTGGATGAAGAGTGACAATAAAAGAACTCATATCTTTAACTCTTGAAAGTCGAATGTATATTTAAGAGCTGCAAGGTCTTACATTATGCCATTTTCCTTTTACCCTGTTCTTGATGGCAGCTTGGCCAGAATCCTCTAGTTATGGTGTTTTTTATCTAATACTGAAAATTGAATTGATGAAACAAGTGCAGACCACTTTTCGTGGTTTTCACATGTTGCAACGACATATTTTTCTCTCTAAGACTTCAAGTAACGAAAACAAACATGTTTTACTATTAACAACGAATATCAGAGATAAAAAATGATATTGAATACCATATTGTGTATAATGTTTCTATAAGGCATTTCCAATTTCTTTTTAGATACTTGATTAGTTTTTTGTATACTTAATATGTTTTTTTTAATATATCACAGTAACTCCTCCAGCCTTCTGTGATTCTGAATATGAACTTGAAGTTGATTCTGAAACTATTTCAGTTTTCTTATGGACTGCAGTATTTGTTCTTTTACTTTCTGATTTCTGGTGGTTGTGTCTGAATAGGAATTCTTTTGGAAAATCTATTGATGGGAGAGATGCTTCAAGGTTGCATGCTCTTTCATTCCAGGCTGGCATTTCAACTGCTAGAGTTCATTTTACTGAAAAAGGTGTTTAGACATTTTTACAAATATTTTTCTGAGTCTTGAAAACTTGGATCCCATGTGCCGTATATCTGAAACTGCAAGTATTTTTGCAGAACGAATATTTGCTCCATACTCTGTTTTCAAAGGAAAAGCTGCACTTTCAGTTTCACCTGTTCTGCCAACTTTCACTAAGTTGGATGTAAGCATAATTTTCCTCCTTTCATTTTTTCAATTTTTCATATGCTTTTATATAAACCCTAATAAAGTTTCTCCTCCTTTCCTTTCCTTATTTGGCAGTCTGGGCATCTTACAGTTCAGCGCCGTGGTTCTTTGATGCTAACTTTCATGCCTGCTATTGGTGAGCGCAAGTATGACTATTCGAGGAGGCAGGTAGAATTTCTTTCTCTTCACCTATAATCTTAATCTATTTATTAATCAAGTGCTACCCTGGCTTCAGTTCCATTATTACCCCCCGGAGATGCTGGTTTCTCTGTTTGTTTATCTTCCTATCTACCGATCTATCTCATGTGTACGCGTCTTATTCATTTTCATGACTGATTTACTGATATCTTTGCAGTGTTTTGCTTTGTCAGCCACAGAGGTTGGGTCTTTGATAAGCTTGGGTCCAAAAGATTCTTCGGAATTTTTTCATGATCCTTCAATGTTATCAAGGTTGATTTTCTGAATTTCTTTTTGTTTTCTGTTCTTTTATTCAAAACTTTCAAAGCAATTGCGATCTCTTTGCTCAATTCCAGATGGAAAATATGTTGAACCTGCTTGACTTAGCCTTTGTAATGTTTCATTTTCCCAGTAGCTTTCTTTGACTAACTAATTTATGTTGCAGTAATGCTGGTCAAGTGAGAAAGAGCTTATCAATTAAGCCACATGCAGATGGTGGTGGTTATTTTCTGTCATTAAGTAAGCTTTTTTTTTTTTTTTTTTAATTGTTACATTTTGATCGAAATTTGAATTTATTCTGATACATTTGCTTTGGGTAATGTTTATGTAACTTGGATAATGTCAAACATCCATTTGAATAGTTGAACTTGGAGGTGCAACCATTTGAATAATTGTATAAATTGTGCATATTAGTTAAGAAATAAATTGTCAAAATCTAAAAAATCTTTAGTAGCAAAAATAAGAAATAATATTAAATAGCATCAAGTATAATATATCAAACATCCAATTTGAATAGGTTGAACTTGGAAGTGCAACCATTTGATAATTGTATAAATTGGTGCATAATTAGTTAAGAAATAAATTTGTCAAAAATCTAAAAAAATCTTAGTACAAAATAAAGAAATAATATTAAATAGCATCAAGTATAATATATATATATATATAATATATATATTTATATATAATATATATATAATATATAATATTTGAACCATTGATATATATTTGAACCATTGATTATTTATTTATTGCTTTTACCAATTTATATCAAACACCTCATTAAAAACTACTACAACAATACTAAACGTTAATTTCAAATTAGTTGGGGTCAATTACATAAATTATTTGTTTCCATCTGCTCCTTTTATAGCCACATCCTCACTAATGTCTAGAACCCATAAGTTTTGGAAACAACTTCTCTCCATATCTAGGTATACCTTTTTGTCGTTTAATAACTTCAACTATTAGCGTATCATACTTATGAGTCGAAGCACCTGGGAGTCTACGTAGGTCATGACCAGACCATCTTAAACGTCTTTCCTCATTTTATTCCCAACTTGTGCTATTTGCACCTTAAAATCTAATGTGACCATACATTTATCTTAATATCCTTATCTCTGCCACATTTATCTTGTGAACATGTTGGGAATTCAGGCCCTAAATTAATTTCCATGTAACGTTGAAGGTCTCATTGCTGTTCTATAAAACTTGCAATTCAATTTACTGGATGTCTTTGTATAACATGGCATACTTGTACTTTTATGAAAACTACAACAAGTATTTCATAAGTACTTTTATTTGTTTTCTCATGTAATCTTTTAATCAATTAGCTATAGATTTTAATTTTTATGCTTTATCTGCTTGAAAGAAGTGTGGTTAATTGTTAATTATGAATTTTTTTCATTTTTAAATTATATAGAAGGGACCTAAATATAAATATATGTAGATTAAATATGTTCATCACTAACTAATCCGGTGAGTATGATTATAATCTTTTTAATAGTATGTTTTAGAATTTGTCTAATTCATTTAGCATTATTTAACTTTTAAATACAAAATTATTAATTGTTATTAGCAGTTTACTTTTTTTCAATCGTTATGTTTGAACCATTAATAACAAACAAATATAGAATTTTAGAGCTCTTAAATTATTATTGTTTCACACTGAATTCTTTTGATTTTATTTTTCTCGTTTAGAGGAATTTCTAGTGGTTAAAATTTTAAAAAAATATGAGAAATAGAATTAAGCTAAAATAAAGAACAAGCTTATATTAATAAAATAAATTTAAGGAAAAAGAAAATGCGAGATCCCGCAATGTGATGCAGGTAATTCTGCTTGTATTACTTGAATTTTGCTTTTGTCAACAAGGTTTTTTCCCACTGCTGTCTAGATTGTCCTTTTGATAACTGTAAAGTTCCCTGTTCTTATGCTGTTGTTACTTCAGGGAGACTTGAAAGATCTTTTATATTATCATCCACAGATCATGCAATTGGTTCTTTGGCCCTTTTGTTTTCTCAATAGAATGTTGATTCAGTTGCATGTTAGCTCATTCTTTTTTCTTTTTTGTTTTCTGCAGCCGTTGCTAACAATGTTTTAAAAACCAACGACTGGTTCAGTGTTCCTCTCACTGCTGGTGAATTTACAGTTTTGAAGACAGCTTGCAGTGTATGGCATAATTAATTATTCCTTTTCCCTTGCTTCTTCACAATTTTGCTGGAAATATGATTCCTTTCTTTTTCTCAATTTTTATATCAGAAAGTGGCCATCTGTGAGAGGCTCCAGAGATATATAATTACCATGAATTGAATTATTAAAATCTGAACAAATTAGAAAAGATGCTACCTTATTGTTCTTAGGATAGTACCAATGACCAATAATTATAATTTTCAAAGGCTCAAGTTCTTTACATAATATCAGGGTCATTTGCATGCTCCTATATTTGGTATCATTTGTTTATTTTCTTTGAATATTCTCAAAATAATTTTGCAAATCTTGTTGGGAGGGTATAAATATCAGGATCTATATGGCTTTCTTTTTTGTCAGGATCAAGTTAGTTGAGTTCCATACTTAAGAAAAATTCATAATGCGACAAGAGATGCAGGAACGAGATATCTGAGTAACACCATTCAGTGTATCGTAGAAAATTCTGTCAAATATTTTTAGTACATTTTAACGTGTACCTCGAGAAAAGGAATGTGTTTTATGCTTTTAGACACTTGCTAGCTATGTCTAAAGATTTGCTCTGTTCATCTATTAATTGCTTGAATGCCATGATTATGCATCTTTTATTGTGCCAATACATGATTATGCACTGTCTGACTGTTCTTTTGAATTCAGGGTTTACAAAAGCATGCAATCAATTTTTCATTTTTTTTTCCTTTTTCGCTCTCTCACCGAAATGTGGGTTTCACTCTGATTTTTTGTCATCCTTTGTGCAGTTTGTATTGCCCCATATCATGGGTTGGGATCGGTTAACTGCTAAACTGCCCGGATATGTAGTTGGAAATCCGCCGAAGGCAGATAGGCTAGAGCCTGAGTTAGAGTGGGCTAGATGAAGCCATGCACAGCTATTGGAATGCTTTGTAGACCTAGATAAGATCGAATCCTGTTTTGCTAAATGAAGCCATCCGTCTCTGTGTTTCATCTTGTATTGCTTGAATTATCTGCCCTTTCCCCTGTAGATTCTTGCAGATGGCATATTCAAACCATATGTAGGCTATGTCTGTTTGTTTCATGGAAAGCGTTTTTCAATGTTCTGACTATGGAAATTTGGTCAATGGAAAATGTCTGCTTTTTGTTTAGCTGTTTTCCAGGAAAATAATTTCTTGCTTTCAAAATATAAAGTCATTTTCTAAATCTTGCAAATTCATAAAAAGGAATTTGCAATGGAACTGTATACTTGGATCTATTAGTTTACGACAGCTGTGAAAAACCTGGAGCCAAATTGCTCTTGGTTATTGTTCTTTCAGTATCTATAATAGTTCTCATGTAAAGAAAAGTTTAGATCAGAAACAAGAAATTGAACACAACCAATTGCATGCTCAGAAGCTAAAGACTATGTCTGGGAATATTTCTGCTTGAATTATTATCTATTACAAAGGATTTTTTTTTTCAGAAGAATAATAGAGAAATTGTACTTGTACTGAAATTGTGTCAATGATAGAGATTAGAACGCAAGAACAGTAAGGAGAAACAGAATTGATTGAAGGACAGAATTTGTAGTAGTATTAAAAGAAGAAAGTTGAAGATAACAATGGAGAGTGGCAAAAATGACTGTAAAACAGCCCCCAGGACTTGAGCCCGAAGCAGATACTCTGCTCAATACAACAAAAGAGAATAAAGATGCCCTGTACATGATTACTGCTAACATATATATAGAATCATTCTTAACAAACATGCTGAGCTGTCTCAATCCCTAACATGATTACTGCTAACATATATAATAGAAATGGCATTCTTAACAAACATGCTTGAGGTCTGTCTCAGATCCCTTCCTTGCTGCAAACCCGCATCCCCTTTGTTTGTAGAGTTATGTGTAGATTTAGTTTCCTTATATAGATAAACCAAAAACGGTTTTTGCAGCTTGAATGATCGTGGCATTCCTATTCATTACCGCGCCACCCTTGCTGAAAAAGCCTTTGTCCTCAGGCTGGAAAGTTCAGGAAATTGTGCCTTCACGGTCAGGCACTCGTGTTATCGCAAGTTGCATCTGTTTGCTGTTGCCCCTGGCCACTGAATTAATACCGTGAGGTATTGGGGCCTGAAGGTGGAGTTGGCAGAGATCGGTCGCGTGGCAAACTTTATAGGGCTGCAACGCATGGTCCTGCTTCTATGTTGAGACCGCATCCGGCAATTGTGCAATGACTGGATTTTGTGCAATGACTGGATGGTTGCCAATTACCCTCTTGAGCTGAGACACATGGAATACAGGGTGTATTTTGGATCCCAAAGGCAGTTGGAGCTTATAAGCAACAACCCCTACCTTCTTGAGTACTTCGAAGGGTCTGTAGAATCTAGTAGCTAGCTTGTCATTGACTCTATTGGCTACGGACTGCTGCCTATGTGGCCTGAGTTTAAGGAAGACCCTTTCCCCAATGGAGAACTGAACATCACGGCGTTTGGGGTTAGCATATTTGGTCATCAGCTGCTGAGCTCTATGTAGATTGTAGCAGAGCTGCTGAAGTATCTTATCCCTATCTTGGAGGTGTTGGGAAAGAGCTTCAACACGAGTTTCACCCGGTAGGAACCGCTGAAGGGTTGGGGGTAGCCTGCCATAAACTAGTTCAAATGGTGTTTTCTTAGCAGCTCCTTGATAATTGGTGTTATACCAATATTCTGCCCAGCAAAGCCACTTAGCCCATGATAAATTTGGTGTTAATACCAATATTCTGCCCAGCAAAGCACTTAGCCCATGATTTCGGATGCTCGGGTGGAGGAGAAACAGCCGGAGGTAGGATTTCCAAGCTGCGGTTTAGGCACCTCTGTCTGACCAATACTTTGGGGGTGATAAGTGGTGGCTGAAAGGACAGAGTAGTAACCTTGCAAGCGGAGAGGTTCAACGTCCAAAAGTTTACTACTTAGGAACCAATGGGTCGCCGTCACTGACAATAGTTCCACGGGGAACACCAATGGAGTCTCACAATCTCCCTCATAAACAGAGTGGCTACGGATGGCATAGCTGTAAAAAGGGGTGTCGAAGAGCCGAGAAAGTGAGCAAATATTTGTTGACAATCTATTCAACCACCACTAAGATTGCAAGTCCACACCCCTTGGGACTTTGGGAAGGCCTTGTGATGCAATCAAAGAGGGCTTTATGTTCCTCCATATTTGGCTTGGAACTGTTGATAGTGGCTGGTAAACAGACCCGCCGCGACTTAGCCTCATATTTGTGTGCTGCTTGACAGATTCAAGGCAGCAAGCGAGACGAAAACTTCTTTATGGTGGCCCATCAATACCCGGCCAAAGTAGAAAAATTGGAGGCAAAAGCGCCCTTTTGTGAGATCTTATAAGCTCCTGAAGAATGTCCGGCGCTAACGGAGTAGAATGAAACTCTTCTATTGATCCTGGGTATCCGAACTTAGAGGAGGGAGTAGCAGAGCCAATCGTCCCTTATGAGAACAAATTCCGTGGATGAGGGAATAATGGAGCTTGAGATGGTTTACCCCGCGAAGAGATTTTCTGAGATAATTCTTGGAGAGAGTGGAATGCTTGTTGGATTGTCCTTAGAGATGGGCGATCCGGCAATCTATCCATTTGTGGAAGCCCGAGATGGCTTGTGAAAATTCAACCTCAGGAATCATGACAGCGCGGGACCAGGGCATCAGCTGCCTCTATTGGAAATTCAACCTCATCATGACAGCGAGACAGGGCATCAGCTGCCCTATTGGTTTTTTCGGTCTTATATTCAATATTGAAATTGTATCCCATGAGCTTGGCTAACCAGTATTGTTGGGCTGGTGTGGACACATTTTGTTGAAGAAGGTGCATAAGGCTCTTTTGATCAGTCCTCACTGTAAAACACCTCCCAATTAGGTATGGCCTCCAATGCCGGATTGCTAGAACAAGAGCCATCAACTCATTTTCATAAGCAGACCTGGACATGGCTGGGTCTCCGGTAGCCTTGCTGAAATAAGCAAGAGGCCTGTTATCTTGAAGGAGGACAACCCCAATCCCAGACTTAGAAGCGTCGGTTTCGACTATAAAGGGCTTAGAGAAATCTGGCATTGCCAGTACAGGGGAAGTGGTCATGGCATGCTTGAGAGCGATGAATGCATCTTGAGCATCTTGTGGCCATGTGAATTTGGCTTGGGCTTCCTTCTTGAAAGAGTGGTGAGAGGGCGAGCTAGTTGTCCATAATTGGCGATAAAGCGCCTATAATACCCTGTAATACCCAGAAATCCTCGCACTGCCCTGGTAGATTTTGGAATGGGCCACTGTAGGATACTTGAGACTTTGGAAGGATCCATAACAACTCCATCCTTAGAGATAATATGCCCCAGGTATTCAACTGATTTCCGGCCAAAGAAACATTTCTTTTGATTGAGCTGAAGTTTGTTATCACAAAGCAGTTGGAGCACAAGCCTTAAGTGTTTTGGAGCACAAGCCTTAAGTGTTTCAAGTGAGAATCCCAACTGTTACTATACACCAAAATATCGTCGAAGAAGACTAGGACAAATTTCCGGAGATAGGGGCGAAAGGGATCGTTCATTACCGCTTGAAATGTGGCTGGCGCATTGGTTAACCCAAATGGCATGACAAGAAATTCGTAATGGCCCGAGTGTGTCCAGAAAGTTGTCTTGGGAGTATCAGCTTCAGCCACCCTAATTTGATAAAACCCGGACTTATGGTCTAGTTTAGAGAAGACCTGAGAACCATGCAATTCGTCCAACAGTTCCTGGATAACAGGAATGGGATACTTGTGAGGAATTGTAGAGTGGTTTAGTTGCCTGTAGTCAACGCAGAACCGCCAGCTGCCATCCTTTTTCTTGACTAGGAGGACAGGATTAGAATATGGGCTGGAGCTGGGTTTGATAATTCCAGCTGAAAGCATATCATGCACCAACCTCTCGATCTCATCTTTCTGAATGTGGCCATACTTATAAGGTTTCACAGATATTGGTCCCTGACCTGGCTGAAGGGCGATCCTGTGATCGGTGGAACGACGAGGAGGGAGGCCATAGATTTCCTGAAAAACAGAAGCATGAGCCGCAAGAAGTTCCTGTAATTATTGGCTCTCAGAATCAAAATTCTCTACAGTGGAGACACATGACATTGGAGGAGGATCTATGGACAGTTCCAGTAGGACTGCAGAGAAAGACATCAAAATTCTCTACAGTGGAGACACATGACATTGGAGGAGGATCTATGGACAGTTCCAGTAGGACTGCAGAGAAAGACATATTTGTGACCTTAGAGAACGATTTGGCAGAAATCGCTCCCCGGGTTAGAGATGGATCACCACATAATTCCACCAACTGATTTTGATGTAGGAACTTCATAGTAAGCCACTGCCAATTCACCTGCACATCACCAAGTGTTTCCAACCATGCAACACCCAATATTATATCAAGATCTCTCAACGGAAATATAAAGAAATCACCAGAAATAGTGTAGGAACCCAGTTGTAAATGTAAGTTGCTGCACACGCCGGAAGTTTTCATGCGGTGGCCATCACCAAGCTTGACAAGGAACGGGTCGGTGGGTTCAACTGCCAAATTCAGTGCCTGAGCAAGATCGGAGGACACAAAATTGTGGCTAGCTCCGCTGTCCACCATGACTAATACTAAGTGAGAAGCCAGTAGACCCATAATCTTCATAGTCTTGGGTTGAGAGAGGCCATAGGCAGAACATAAGGAAAGCTCAAGCTGCTGGAAATGCTCAAGCCTGCTGGAATGGCTTTCATCGTTGAAGTTTAATGGGCGAGCTGGTGAAAGATATCTGAAATGGCCTAATTCGTGCGTAGGAGCCCTTCATGCCTGATGAGAGTTTTCAATCCCTCCTCCTATTATTGCCCGTAAGGGATTTGCTGAGGGCAATTCATGAAAGTGGAGAGTAAGGGTTTGTGTGCAAACGAAAAACAAGAGCCCCCTTCTCTCTTTAAATGTCTTTGGTATTCTTTGTGAGGAATAAGTGACTTTGGAATCCACGCGTTCTCCCTGGGAGAGGAAGTGGAAATTTCGGGGAAAGGAGCAGGGAGAAAGGCGTTGGCGAGCAAGGTAAACATCCACGGTTTCTGGGAGAGGAAGTGGAATTTCGGGAAGGAGCAGGGAGAAAGGGTTGGCGAGAGGTAAAATCTAGAGGTCTGGAGGAGTGGGTTATGGTTTGAGTATTGGGTCGGGTCGGGTTTTGGGTGGGTGGTGGAGTTTGAAGTGGGGCGGTGAGAAAAATTTAGGGCCCAGACCAAACTTACCTGGAGAATCGCTACCAGATGATCGCAGCGTGGGTTTCTGAGTATATGGTGACTGCAGTTCGTTCAACCTCCAGCGCAACTCTCATCGCGCGATGCAGTTCCTGAGAATCAGAGGAACGTATTCTAACTCGGATTTCTTCTTTTAACCCATTTAGAAAATATCCCAAGAGTTAAAAATCTGTGAGGTTTGGAGTTTGTGCGGCTTGGGTAATGAATTCATCAATGAAGGTGGACACTGAGTTCAATTGTTTTGTGGCAGCAAGCAGCTCGTAGGGATTATCCGAATCTGAACCACTATATTTGATGAGGAGTTCGGTTTTGAGTTGGGTCCATGTGAGGTTTGGAGTGCGGCCTCTAAGCCATCATAACCAGTGGAGAGGATGGTCCTTCATTCCCACGAGAGCCATGGCAACAAACCGGCTGGAGGGGTGTTTTGTAACTCAAAATATTGCTCAGATCTTGCAATCCAGCCGAATGGGTCAGTTCCGGTGAAAATGGGCATTTGGAGTTTTTGAATGTAGTTATGGTTTGAAGATGAGGAGTGTGGGTGAAGGTCGGTGGTGGTGAGTGGGGAATGGGAATTGATGGTAGCAGATTGGTCTGGGTTTTGTGGGTTGGATGGTGAAGGAGGAGGATGTGTGTTAGATGAAGAAGCAGGGGATGTACCTGTGAGAAGAAGGTGTTTAAGCTCTTGGAGACCTTGTTGAAGCTCCGGAAGCTGGCGGGAATTATCAAGTCTGATAGAAGCAATAGAGTCTTCAATGGAGGCGATGTTCTTCTCCAGAGTTTTCACCCTTTGATCCATTCTGGTCTTAGGCATTCAGAAAAAAATCCAAAGCAGGTCGGACCAAATGATAGAGATTAGAACGCAAGAACAGTAAGGAGAAACATAGTTGATTGAAGGACAGAATTTGTAGTAGTATTAGAAGAAGAAAGTTGAAGATAACAATGGAGAGTGACAAAAATGACTGTAAAACAGCCCCCAGGACTTGAGCCCGAAGTAGATACTCTGCTCAATACAACAAAAGAGAATCTTCTCAAGCTACCAAAATAGAGAATAAAGATGCCAATGTAACATTGATTATGCTCAACGATAATATATTAGAATCAGAAGAAAGTTGAAGATAACAATGGAGAGTGACAAAAATGACTGTAAAACAGCCCCCAGGACTTGAGCCCGAAGTAGATACTCTGCTCAATACAACAAAAGAGAATAAAGATGCCATGTACATGATTACTGCTAACATATATATAGAATCATTCCTAACAAACATGCTGAGTTGTCTCAATCCCTTCCTTGCTGCACACCGCTCCCCTTCGTTGCAGATTTATTCCTTCTATAATAAACCAAAAACGGTTTTGCACTTGATGACGTGGCATTCCTATCAGTCAAGGCTGTCTTTTTGATTGGCAATTCAACCGCTCTAACTTCCAGAAATTCACTTATAGTCTGTACGTGGCCTCTGTTTTTTAACATAATCATTTTTTCTTTCTTTTTTTTTGGTTTTTACCAAAATGATGAATTACGATTTACAATCACTAAACAAAAACCCTAACCCCATTCCCATCTTTTCATCTCAATGCCTAGCGCTTCTCTTACTCTCGGTCTCTCTTTCTCTAAACCAGAAATTGATCAATACACTGAAGAAATAATCTCCAACCCACCAAATCGATTGACAGTGCCTCTCTCTGTCTCTCTTACTCTAAACCAGAACTCGATTGAATCTCACTTCCTCTCTATCGTTTGATCTGTGGCTTGAATTTGAGGTATTTTTTATAATTCCTATCCAATCTCTATCTATTTCAGTTTATTAGAAAAGAGTTATCTTTTCATTCTTGTTTATATAATTGTTTAAAGGCATTAAAGCCCCTTTACTGCACAGCTTTAATTCTATTATCACAACTATGATATTGATGAACTGGGCATTTTCAATTGAACCAGTTTTAAAAGTTGAGCTTTGATTAATTGCCAGTGGGGCTAAAGAAATTTCATCGTAAATTTTTTATTTTAATTTATTTTCTTTTATTTCTGATATTCAGAGACTTATAATATGTTCTATAATAAAGCTATACCAGATCTTATAATATTTTCAGTTATGGTAGATTGGGCCAAAGTGAAAAAATCTTTGGAAATTGGGTTAAATACGTGAAATTTTAATTCTTGATCTCCGATACTGGATAGTAAAAGCAAACCCTTCCAAGAAGAAAGAATCTGAACATAATTTTCAGTTGAGAGACTGAGCAAATGATTGATTCGAATGATTTCAGTTTCTTGCAAATGAGCAGAAATAAACTGGGATGATCCATCTACAAACTATTAGTGACAGATAAGACCATTCGTGCTTGTGTTAGAGTCACCTGCTTCTATACCAACAAGTGTTTTTATCCATTTTTTTCCGGTACACGGGACACTCTGAGATTTATATTCTTTTTACCAGCTGTTAGGTATTCTAACAATTAAACACACCCTTGATATTATGAAATGGAAAGATGAGAATCAAAGAACACTTTATAGTTTTGTCTCATTGGTTACAATTTCATTTACAAGTTACAAGTACCTTACGAGAATTATTTTTGTTCCTGTTTTTTTATTGATTATTATATACTTAATAATTGACTTGGAATTATATCCGCTATGATTAACTTATCATAATTATTCCCTTATTTTGTATTATCTTATAATTAAAATTTTTTTCCTTATATTGATTTTTGAGAAATTTAATTATTTTTATAATATAATAACTTTGGGAATAAAAAATATTATATCTTAAAATTTTAATATTAAGAAAATGTTATACAAATTAGATGTCAAGCATAAATGCATAAAAAAAAATTCATAATTTTGTAAAGGAACTTGCAATCTAACGACGTCGGTTCTTACGGCTCGCCACTAAACCTCTTTCCACGGTTAGTATTCTGAAACCCTAAAGCATCCAAATTTTTTCCCTGAAAATCTGCAGACCAAACAACCAACCATGAAGGAGAAGACGGTTACGTGGCAAATCATCCACATCCCTGACAAGCCACCGGTATCTCCTAACCAGCAACCCACTGGTCAGATTATCAGAAGCCAAATTTGCACTCCTTTACTCCTTCAATATGAACACGTTTCTCTTTTTTTTTTTTTTTTTTTTGCTGGTCAGATGATCAGAAGCCAAATTTGGCACCATCCTTTACTTCCTTCCAATATGAAACACGTTTCTCTTTTTTTTTTTTTTTTTTTCTTAAAAATAACTGATTTCGTTTTTTTTTTTTTTTTTTTTTTTTTTCTTAAATAACTGATTTCGTTTGTTTTTTTTTTTTGCAACATATAGTGAATGCTTTTGCGTCGTTGATCGAGCCTAAGGTTGCAAATACTCTTATAAGGTTGAGCTGTTATCTTCTTCATATTTAGCATTTGTAAAGATACTTTTTTTTTTTTTGTTTATTTATTTTAAGATTGATATGGTGTGATTTTTGGGTAATTTTGTTGGAATAGGCGTTTAAATCAGGTAGCTCCACTTGAAAATCTCCGCCATGTGAAGCGTATACAGAAGAGACATATTGAAGGTAATGATTTTGTTTTATTATTCTCATATACTTGTTTAAATCTAATTATTGATTTGGTATTTGATTTTGTCCTTTTTGCATCATTTGAACTAATTTCTGGTTGATTCGCAAGAAAAATTTCACAAGGTAAAGGAACTTTTGTAGCATTGCATTTTTTAGTTGTTTGGTGTATCATACATTAAGTTTCACCTAGTATGGCTCATTCATTGGTTGGTCATGACATGTATGTTCCTTTGCGGAAAGCTTTATGAAATAACTAGGAGCTAACCTTATTTTAAGAATTCTAGGAGGATTGTATTGCTTTTGGTGATAATTTAAAAAATTCAATATTGAATTTTTAAGCCTTGGCCCTAGGACGCATTTATAAAAGCTGAAGCCGCTACATTAACGACATATAAACTATATTTATCAACCAAGTCTGTTTTATGTGGCTATGTAATTGAATAAATTTGCTTATTTCCAGAGTTAGAGTGCTTTGTTGCCATGGTTCTTAGTATTTTATGTTTTATCTGAAATGGTTGTTAGATTTGCAGACATTGTTTCAATTTCTTTTTCTTTCCCTTTGATATGCAACACCATACTTATGTAAGTATATTGACTATGTTTCATAATTTTCAGGGAAAATGCAGCTGTCAGTTATCTTATGCCTAGCTTCTGAGAACAACAATCAATTGAACAACTTGCCACATGATGTGCAAGAGCTAATCAATTCTTACCAGTTGAGTCCTTTTATTACAAAAGTGGGTTATTTTTTTTCTTTTTTCTTTTTTTTTTCTTTCTTTTTTTTTTTTTTTAAATTATTTTCTCTTTTCTCTTTTTTTTTTTTTTTTAAATACTTGGAAATTCCTTGTAGAAAAACACACATATTTTGTTAGATTCATACTTTCTGGCTCGATTTTCCCGAAAAGCCGGATGGTTGATAAATTGTTAGAGTGCAGTTTGAGTTGTCCTGCGTTTATTTAATTTGTAGGCTTAATCTATTAGAGGTTGTTAATGAAGAACCATGTAAATGTCATGCAACTATAATTTGTAATAGTTTTTACTTTGGGCTTTTTAATTTTTCTTTCTTTTTTTTTTTTTTTAAATACTTGATTCCTTGTAGAACCACATATTTTGTTAGATTCATACTTTCTGCTGATTTCCAAAAGCGATGGTGATAAATTGTTAGAGTGCAGTTTGAGTGTCCTTGCGTTTCTTAATTTGTAGGCTTATCTGATTAGAGGTTGTTAATGAAGAACCATGTAAAATTCATCAACTATAATTTTATATTTTACTTTGGCTTTTAATATAGTAGTGGACCGATGATGTTCTCTTTTATTTTAAATTTGTGGATTGAGTTATGATATATGAAAGAAGAGTGTGGAGGAAACTTCTTTGAATTGGTGATTAACTGAATGCAGATCTAATGATTGGGGCAGAGAACCTTAAGACTTATAACATTAGTTTTAACTGCTGTCATGTGATTAGATTAGTCAAATTCTTAACGTAGCGTTAGTAACAATAGTGCAAAATAGACAGATTGCTTGGTTTTCTGAAAGAGCTGTGTTGCTATTTATTGGCTCTGCCCGATGACTAAGTTTTAAGGAAGTTCACAGTAAACTTATTTCGATCATTATGTATTGTCTAATAGCTTTTCTTGCTCAAAAAGTTGATTAAATAGCAAGCTCTTCTTATTGGTCAATGCCTGAATTAATGTCTACTAGCTTTTCTTTTACAACGGTGATGATATCCAATGTCATTCTCTCTGATTTCTTGTGCAAATAATTAAAATCTATTATTCTATATTGTCCTAGAAACATCATAATTGTTGCTTGTAACCATTAGAATGCCATATTTTTTTCAAATACTAATGAACAAAATTAGGGGTAACATCGTAATTTCAATATATTACTTCTTTTGCCTCTATTTCCTTGCAATAACCATACATGGATACGATCTAAATTGTGAATTTGTTTGCTTATTTATCAAAATGATACCCCTTGATATCCTTATGTTTTGCATTCTTGATGAAGTATCAAACTGTTAGATGCTTTTATAACGGCAGCTAGAGAAATGAATTATCTAAGTTCTAGAATCTCTAAAATTTGTAAATCATGTTTCCAAAGCAAAAGATCATACTTTTTAGGTTTGTATATGATATGGAAACTCTTATTTATTAGGCATTCCCTATTCCTGTTAGAAATTCCTCTTATCTGAAATAGTGCGGTTATTTGCTTTTAAACTTGTAAGATTGCCTTTGAGATAGTTAAGGCAGTCATATCTTACATATGGGCTTTAACAATTCCAGATTTGCAAATATGCTGCAACGACTAAGGAAGAGTGGGAAGAACAATGCAAGTTTTGGCCAACATCATTCCATCCACCTACCTAGTAAGTTTTATGCTATTTCACTATAATGTTTCCCTAATGATTATTTTCCTTCTCATTTCTCTATAATTTATATGCTATTTCACTGTAAGTTTTACTAAGGATTCGTACCATAGATACTTGAAACAATGTTATCTTGCAATCTTCTGCTGTCTTACTAGACCTTAATGATATGGAAGCAGTAAAGAGGGATTATAATGCTAAAACTTTCTAAAGGTTGCATGCTTTGTATGAAATTTAAAATTGAGCTAACTGTTGTCAAAGGGAAAAAATGAATCAAATGACGATGCAATTAGGTTATAGATACTGATCAAACTATGAGATAATAGTCCAATTAATTTAGTAATTTTGATCTTCAAGCTTGGTGGTTACTTTGTCTTTTTAAAACATAGGGAAGGTTCGGTAGGCAATGTCTATTCTGAACTTTGGTCTTCAACCAAGCAAAATGGAGGAAAAGAATATCCAGCCCCTATGAGATAGCAAGCTTTTGATTAACTAAAGATTTGATTGTTATCCTACTTGCTCAGCTGACGATGCGCTTGATTGAGGAAACTGTACCAATATCAGTAACCGTCATATTAGTTAACTTAATCTCAATGTAATTAAAGTTTGTTTAGTATAGTTTATGATGTTTGATCACATTTCAAGTTTTTCCAAGTTATTATTTCTGTCTTTAGCTATTGTTGCAATAGTTGTAAATGAAGTGCCAAACTAATGACAACATGGAATATCATAGAATATTATATATTCGATTCTTTCTATAGGATTGGTTCTTCCTTTTCTATAGTTTATATTTATATTGAAGCATTTCTTCACATGGATACATCAAAATTAGTGTGTTTTTCCTTGTCCTAATTCATTTTTATATTTTCTTTCCTCCAATTATAGCAATATTGATGGCATTACTGGATTTGGTGAAGAGGACTCGCAATCTGTTTTCAACTTCATGAAAGTGGCTACTGACCTGTCGAAATCTGGTGATGGTTCGGTAACTATTTAATTTCTTTTTTGAAATAAGTTTACTTGTATGGAGGTAGTGATACGTCAAGCTAATGTTAATTTAACTGCCAACATTGGCAGTACTGGGGTAGCATGCATCCTATTTACCTTAAAAGCTTCTGAGAGTGGAATGGCAATACTTGAGTTACAATTGCACAAGTTGGGCTCGACTCCACTTACTAGTCCAACATCGGATTTCATTATTTTTCTTTGGAAGGATAGTGTGAAATTTGTAACTGGCTTTTGGCAATTCTTCGCTTTGCCATGAACCAACTGATAACACTAAATGAACACAGCTCTCTATTAGAAATGAGATGGTGCTTGCTGGCATCATCATTTCACAGATTACTAGTTATAGTAGAGCATTTTTCATGTCTGAATTTGTCTTTTGTTTGCATTTCTGCAGATTGTCAATGCTGCAGTTATAGTGGATCCTTCAGTTCAGCAAATTATTGCAAGCGGGTGTGATCAGATCTATTCATGTCATAAAGAGAACCACACTGAAAACAACCACTTTAACATACCAGTTTCTCCTTTAGATCCTGATTCCAACAGTGTAGCAAGTCATGCAACTGCAATTCCAAACAGTCTGCAATCACATGATAAACCTGAAACTTCATGTGTTGCTGTTTCTTGTTTAAACCCTTGGCAGTGGTCTGGGCAACAATTAAATAAGCAAGGTTCTTTTAATTGGCATCCTTTACGACATGCTGCTATTGTTGCTATTGAATCTTCTGCAGAAAGGGATAGGCATCTCTTCCCTGTTTCTAAGGAAAAGGCTTTTGAAGTGGAACCGATGCTGTCTTCATGTGCAGATTCTCCAGCAAAAAGACAAAAGACAAACATTGCAAATGTGAGTTAAATCTATCTTCTGTATATATGGGTCAACCTTGTGAAATTGGGTCTGTTTTGTGAACCGCTAAAGAGGGTCACTGATTTATACTTTTTTGAAATGCTTTATGCTTCTTCTATATTCAAAGGGAAAGTGCTAATCATCTACTATGGCATTGACATTTGCCTTGCATTTTCTTTGGTGATGGTTGAAATGCATGTCAACTTTATGTGATCATGCTTAGGTTGAGAATGGGAAAGAAATGGATGCTCATAATGAAGCAACATCAGTGAGACCCTATCTATGCACTGGTTACGACATCTTTCTGGTTTGGGAGCCGTGTACCATGTAAGTTTGTAAAGCTATGACTCTGTCAGCTTTATCTTCATCTTGTAGCCAGGACTTGTACATTCTTTAGCACTTCAGTTTAATTCTAAGAATAAATTTTCTGATATTAAACAACTTTTCCATGGAAGGTGTGCAATGGCGCTTGTTCATCAAAGAATTAGGCGAATATTTTATGCTTTCCCCAATCCAAATGCCGGTGCATTGGGCAGTGTTCACAGACTACAAGGAGAGAAAAGCTTGAATCATCACTATGCTGTTTTCAGGGTGGTTTTACCGGAAGATGTTCTTAATGTGGTTGAAACAGCCAGAAAAGATGATAATGGTGATCAAATTGCAACTACGGCTGGTTAAAACGCACATCCTGATATTGAATGAGATCAACCTGTTGTGGTCTATTCTCCAGGAAGATAAAGGAGTCAATTATTTTTCAGAAATCTTGCCCTTGCAAATGCAAATGTTCTGTTAACGGCTAATTATTTTTTTAGAAATCTTGATCCAAACATGTAGTTCTTGCAGTTTGTTCTATTGATGATTCATTTTTAGATGTCATATTTGGAATAAAGATATGTGGAGTTCATTTTATTTATGAATTAATTTCACTAAAAGAAAATTAATTTGTAATGAATTATCATGTTTTAGATTAGGGCTGTGCTTTGATCTTGGTATTTCAAAATTGAATTGAAAAAACAAACCAAAGATGTTCTAGAATTGGAAATAATCTAACATTGTAAGAACAAAAATTGATTTGGACCGAAATACCAAATGTATTTATTAAGGCTGTGCAGATCCGGTTCTGGGAGTGTTCTCAAGAGGAACTGGAACTGAATCCAAAATTCGGTTCCTTCATTTTTTGGAATTATAACTGGAACCAAAAGACTAAAGAACCAAAATGTAATCGACAAAATTTTTGGTATGGTTTTGATATGGTTCTTCGATTTTTCGATTTTGGTTGGTTTCGAATCCTCTTCCCAATTGAAAATTATTATATTTTTAAAATTTATTACAATGTTCTTTTATATAAAAATATTTTAATGTCAAAATAACAATATCTACTAATTAAAAAAAATCACCGTACTAGGATAGACATTAAAAAAATAATTATCAATAATAAATTTTTATTTTTATTCTTTGTAAATAAAAATCCAAACATTTATCTATCAGCCATGAGCTAAATTAACCTCCCCAATACGAAAATAATTTTGCATCATTCTCATACCAGTGGCAGCTTTTGAATAAATCATATTCATATACTAACTCTCTAAAAATGATTTATTAATCTACTAATAAGTCATTCAATGACAGTTCTATCTATCACTTTCTTGTGAGGGTTTGTACTGATTCGCTTTCGAGCCGTTGAGCGATGATGTTATAATTTTTGTTATTGAAATTTGTGATTAGATTTATATTTTATTCTTTGGTAAATCATTGTAAATAAAAATCCAAACATTTATCTATCAGCCATGAGCTAAATTAACCTCCCCAATACGAAAATAATTTTGCATCATTCTCATACCAGTGGCAGCTTTTGAATAAATCATATTCATATACTAACTCTCTAAAAATGATTTATTAATCTACTAATAAGTCATTCAATGACAGTTCTATCTATCACTTTCTTGTGAGGGTTTGTACTGATTCGCTTTCGAGCCGTTGAGCGATGATGTTATAATTTTTGTTATTGAAATTTGTGATTAGATTTATATTTTATTCTTTGGTAAATCAACTGCGAAATATTTTTCTATTTTTAGCCTTTGTTTGGCAAGCTACGGTAAATTTTTAATCAAATTTAGCCAAAAAATTCTGATGAATCTAAAAAATCCTTAATTGAGGAAATCCTGGCAGTCAAGTAATCAAGCTACTGCCCTTGTGAACGTGTCACAGATAATTTCTCCTTTTTTTTTTCTTTTTTTTATTTATTTTAAAAAGACAGAAGAAAAAAAATATCTATGCTTTTTCATCATCTTTTAAGTTCTAAATAATCTCCGAAATAATAATATGAACATTACAAATATTAGTCAATCATAATTAATAATTGAATAATGAAGTTTTATTTTTGTGGTTCTCAACAAAAAGCTCTCATTATCTTTTAGGTTCTATGAAATCTCCAAAATGATGGTACCTTCAATTGTCACATGATAAACATGTTAGTAAAATTAAGACTTTTAAAGATAAAAATAATCTATATTAATTGTGCCTAATAAATAAAAAAAAAGTAACTTCCAAGAAAATTATAGATATAGTAAAATACTATATAAACATTTATGAATTATCATATTGTTAAAATATTATATACAATAAGAAATGATGGGTCAAATATTAATTTTTATGTGGGATAAATAATTTTTATTTAAACTCCATTTGTATTATTAATTAAATAGTACCAGCTAATAAATATTTTATTTTCAAATAATAAAATATACAATAAGAAATGATGGGTCAAATATTAATTTTTATGTGGGATAAATAATTTTTATTTAAACTCCATTTGTATTATTAATTAAATAGTACCAGCTAATAAATATTTTATTTTCAAATAATAAAATTTTATATATGCTACAAATAACATAACATACTAAAAATTAAAATAAAAGATATATGTATTGATTGGAAGGTAAATGACACCTTGATCTTCAACATTTTTGTCCTCTGTCAGGTGTTTAATGAATTTAATGCAAGGAAGCTCGAGAAGAAGAATGTCTTCAAGGGAATACATAAGAACAAGCTATTCTTGGGGATCATTGGCATAACCATTCTCCTTCAGGCACTGATGGTGGAGTTTCTGAGGAAATTTGCAGATACAGAGAGGTTGAATTGGGGTGGGTCAATGGGGTCTATGCATTGGAGTGGCAGCTCTTTCTTGGCCAATTGGTTGGGCTGTCAAGTACATACCTGTTCCTGAAAAGCCAATTTTCACAAGTACATACCTGTTCCCTGAAAAGCCAATTTTCAGCTAATTTCAATTGGAAAAAGTAAGAGTCCAGGGAAACATAAGATTCCTTTTAAATTTTTTTTGTCCTCTAGTTTAAATAAATATGTCAGGATGCCTTTTTGTAAAAGACAAATTGATATTTAACTCATTTTTTTATCATATGCGCATTTGATTGGATGTTTCAGCTATTTCAATTGGAAAAAGTAGAGTCAGGAAACATAAATTCTTTAATTTTTTTTTTCCTCTTAGTTTAAATAAATATGCAGATGCCTTTTTGTAAAAGAAATTGATATTACTATTTTTTTACATATGCGCATTTGATTGGATGTATTCCAGATGAATTTAATACAATGATTATATCTGTTTCTTTCTAATCCAGTCTCAAAAACTTGAACAGATACATGTTGGAAATATGTTAAAAAAACAATAAAGGACAAAAAAAAATATTAATCTCAGAAATCAAAATTTCAAGATCAATAACCAAGTTCTCGTAGACATTAACTGAAATTGCATTCGTTTCGGTACATTTCAGTTTCCTGCTATCTCGATTCTTTTTCAATTTCAATTTGTTAAATATAGTTCTTCGGTTCGGTTCGGATCCCTCGGAAACTATGCACATCCCTAGTATTTATTATTATGGTATGGTTCTGAAACCTTAATAAGCAGAATTGTATTGGATTACATTGAACTGGATGATTGAATATAGAGCTGGTTCTATGCGTTTGTGTTTTTATAGCTGCTGATTCAAAATAATTTGAATTTTAATAATATAATATGAAATAAAGGTATATTAAATCTATAGCTATACTGTATATAAATATGGAAATAAGGGGAATAATAAGATTTTTGATATTGTTCTTCATAAATTTTGGAATATCCTAAAATAGTTTAGTCGTAACCAATTTGAAAATTACATTTTATACTAATGAGTGTTTGGATGAGTGGTTCGACACTCTTATCCCTTAAGTAAAGTTGAGAGTTCCATCCTTATTGATGGAGCAAATACTTGTAGGGAGCACTTTACTCCTTCTCGGGGCGAGCAAGACAAAAAAGAAACATTGAATTTTATTATTTGATTGGATATAATTTTTAAAAATTATTTTTTAAATAAATACATATAGATAATAAAAAAGAAAAAAAGTATACTCTTATTCTAAATACATACTAGATTATAAAAAAGAAAAAATAAGTATACTCTTCTTGTTTTGCTGTATGGTTGTGGAAAAATTGAGGGTGTTACTTTTGGCGAGGATCATACGTTCTCTGGTTTAATGCTAAAATAACTTGTGTATATTCATATAATTTGACTTAACATGATAAATAAGCTTATGTAATTTGATTATATATTTTAATTATTGCACAACTTAGAAAAATGGAGGACGCAATAAAATCTGGTTCCACAATATTTACTTTGTAATTTCCATTTATTGACTTGGCTAATAAATGCTTTTCCTTTCTCCTCTTTTTTTTTTTTGTTTTTTGTCTATCCAACGATCTCAAATTCATTAAATTACCATCATTGATGGATCAATTAAATAAGGAGTTGAATTTTTGAAATTCCAAATTGTGAATTTTTGTTCTCTTAGATATAATGTTCTTATGTGTTTGTTTGATAATCTCAGTCCGAAAGAGAGTTATATTAAAAATCAACAACTTGTTTTTTTATTTTTTGATTTTATTTTTTATTTACTGAAGTTACATTGTATCAGGGACTACTATCTGACTTCGTTAATCCATATTAATTTATAACTACTATCACTTTAATTTAGCAAGAGATTTATATCTTTCTAGCAGATGACCTCTTGATGATTAAATATTTTTAATTTTCTTAATAGTTTTTCTATTATATTCTAAATATGTTTGAGTTGAAATATAATAGTGTTTATAAAACTAGAAAAAAACTAAACTTATATATTTCTGGTTTGGTCACCTTTTGGGGTTTCAAGAATTTATGTGTATGCATATATTCATTTTCTGTAATGCACTGGATAAGTAATACTGTCATTATAGTCAAAATAATTACCATTATCAATTTAGATTATTTGCTCATTTGTTTTCTTTATCAAGCAGTAAAAATGATATATATTATATATATATATATATATATATATATATATATATATATTAATATATTATATTGCTTTGGGGTTGATGACACAAAGTTGGAGATTGAATGATGACTAAATTTTCGTTTTGGGCACTTATTAAGGTTTTAATAATCTTAATTTTTAAATTAGGGACTGAAAGGTTAGGTATAGGGATTTAGTTGAATTTTATTTTGAGACCACTTCATTATAAATAAAATAGAATTAAGTACATAATAAGTAGAATTACAAGTAGCTTATATGACAAACTCCAATACAAATATATTTGTTTTAATGTAAATAAGAACTTATGCTTTAATATCATATAGATAAAAAATTAAAAAAGTATAAATATATAACGAGTATAGTCAACGCGCAAGACACATCATAAAAAAGACTAGTAAGAATAAAAGAACAAATATTAGTTTAATTTTGAATCAATCATCATACTTGAAATGTTTTTTTTTTTTTTTTTTTTTTTTTTTTTTTTTTTTTTGACTACTTTTTTATAAAAATATTTTATTAAATTATTTCATGTCCTTTCTTTTTTTTTTCCTCATCATTTGAGTCTGTAATAACGTTAAGGCTTTTA